GGCGGGAGGGGGGGGTTCCCTTCAAGGGGGTGATTGTGGGACAAAAACGCGTTTGGGGTCACCCGTGATGGGGGCTGCGGACGGGGCGGATGAGGGGCTTACCTGTCCGGGGGGTAGGGACTATGGGGGGCTCACCTGGATGAGCCGGGGGACAGGAGTCTTGGGAGGTCGCTTGGATGGTTTGGGGGGACAGGGGCAACGAGGGCTCTGTGGTGTCTGGGCTATGGGGGGGCTCGCCTAGACAGTTAGTGGCCCAGGAGCCACCATAGCCCAGGTGGGAGCCCCTGGAGCAACTGGAGCTGCAGGAGCGGCCGGGGGCTCCGGCAGGATGGGCCTGGCGGAGGTGGGAACGTGTTGGGACGAGCGGGCGCAGTGTCCTGCTGCGGCACGTGGGCCCTTCGTGGCGCCTGGATCGCCGCTGCGTGTGCAGGAGGGGATTTCCTGCGGCTTCCCAGCATTGTTTGCCGTCCCGGCTCGGGATCCCGCGCCTGCGCAAGCAGGGATATGTGGTTTTACGTGACCGCCCAGCCCGCGGCCTCGGGGACTGCGGGACGGCTGCTGTCACCCACGTGCGCTGTGTCCCCTGCATGGGAGATGGCTCGGAGGCACCTAGAGCCTCATCCCGCTGGTGGGAATCCCATCCCCAGCATTAAGGCTGCGCTCAATTCCCGATGTGGGGCTGGAGCCCAACAGTGCCAAGTGGCGGGATCGCTGTGCCCGGTGCCAGCGCTTGCCCTGACTCGCGTTAGCAGCTGGATCTTGGCCCCTTTCCAGCCCTGCTGCTCCTCCCGTGCAGCTCCCTGCTCTTCCCTTATTTCCTGCGTGGTTCCCCAGGCCTGCGGGCACACTCCGGCTCGACGTCATTGTTTTAATCAAAGTAGACAAAAGGTGGAGGGGGGGAAAGGGTCGGGTCTGCAGATGCCCCACGTGACAGTCGCACGATATTAAGGTTGCTCGTGCTTTCTCTGCGCACCATGTTGTTGCATCATACCTGGAGCGAGGCCGCGGCCTCAGGAAGAGGAGGCCTCCCTATGCCCGCATCTGCTGGAGCTCAAATTCCATTGGTGTAAAGTCTGTGGAAAACCCCGGCTTCAGCAAACTTGCTCCTTTGGAGCAGAGGCACCGTGGTTGTCCCAAGGGTCTCGTGTTCCTTGGGCCTTAATACGCCTGGTGCTGTGGCACCTGCATTCCCACAGATCGTGGGTTCCTGCACTTATCCGTGCTGTCTTGGTGCTTTTGGTGCTCAGGAGTTTGATTTGGGGTTTATCTGCTGCTACAAAGGCTCGTTGCCTTCTTTGGGGTGACTTTGGAAGCAAACCAGGGATCAGTGGTGGATGAGGGAGGGTTTGAGGACCGGTGCTTCCCCCAAGTCTTCTCCAGGTATGATCCTTCAGACCAAAAAGGGAAGTTTTTAACCTCCTGGTCATTCCTTGGCCTTGGGGACCGTTGCTTTCTTTGGCTGTTTGCTACAAGCGTGGAGCTCTCTTGGCACCATAGCTTGCATGGAACTTTGTTCCTTCATGCAACTTACTTTAAAACTGGCTTTTGTGGTGATAAAGTACCCTGTGCTGAGACCAGCTGCAATGGGGCTGCATTTCCTTTTCTCCCCAGACTTCTCTTGTAAAACATCTTCTGTGACCTAGGCAGGGTCCTACTCTCTGTCTTCAAGTTGAAGATATGTTTTTGGGGGGTGGTTCTGCTGTTTTTCAGTGGGTTCCTCAGGTGTTGGGCTGGGTCCCCAGGGTTGGGGTATGTTGTGGTCATGTCTGGTCTCCGGCGCTTGGCATTTCAGAGCAAACGAGGGTGAGAGCTGGCAGGAGGCATTGTCAACACGTGCTTGGAGGAGCAGAGTGTGAGGTCCTGGCTGTGTATGGACACACAGCAGCTTTTGCTGAGCCCTTTTTGCCTATTCCCTGGTCTGTAAAACCAAGGGCCCCTCTTGCCTTGTGGGCTGGTTCATGGTGGCGCTTTGCAGCGCGCAGATGTTGGATTCCTCCCTGCAAACGGCTGGTGTCAGGCTGGTGCACTTGAACCACTGAAGGTGCTGTGGGCCGATAACGTTATCGTGCACTCGAACGAGCTCACGGGGAGGATAGAAACGCGGTGCCCCGGGGGCCTTTTGGAACAGCACGTGTAGCTGCTGCGGAGGCCCTGGGGCCGGCCAGGAAACCTTCCTTCACATGATAAGGATGGGCGAGCGGGGACAGGTTGCTAATGAGTTTGTGCAGTCTCTGACCTTGGAGATTTCAAGACCAGAGCGGGCAAAGTCCCGAGACCTGCAGAGGATAAATAAGCTGCGCTGGAGAAGCAAGACCATCCCTGCAGTTGGATGCAAAAGGGAGTTGCCAGAGCTCGGGAGGCCGCTAACAGACCTCGCCTCCGCCTCGGGAGGATGGGACGTGGTCCCAGCAGTGGGGTGACGCACCACGTGTGGCCGCCTGTTTCTTCCAGCATCTGACTCATCGGAGAAACTTGCTGCAAGGGGCAGGTTCCTGGCAGGCGGGAACAGGAAGGGAATTTGTTTGTGGTGGTGGGGCACGGAGCTCTCGGCCAGGAGCCCTCGCTGCTCCCTCCCCGCCGCTCGGTTTCCTTTGCTGCGGTTGGTTCCCGTGCCCAGAAACGGGGGAAGGAAAGGGAGACCTGCCGTTACCCTAAGGAAGCGCCGGGCGCCTTCGCCTTGCTGATAACCCGGGCATCCAGCAGCGCCTTGAAGCCTCCGCTGTCGGTTTGGCCAGGAAATAACCACCTTCCTGGAGGGGGAAGTGCCCTTGGCTCCCTCAAGGGGATGTTTGAGAGCCAGGCCCAGGATAGCCCGGGACAGGCTGGTGGTTCCACGTCTGGCTCCATCCTCACCTGTCTGTGCCTCCTGCCTGGTCTCTTGTTAGCTGCACATGCCCTGTCTCTCTTACGTTTTTTTTAACCCATTTTTCCCCTATTTTTTCACAGGAAGCTTTTTTGGGAACTGCTGCAGTTGCAGTGGGGAGAAGGGACAGTTTGGATCCCTTGGACTTGAGCAAGCTAAGGGAGGAATTGTATCAGGTCTACGATGGAGGCCTCTATTGCAGGAAGTGTCCTGCAGGTAAGATGTTTGCTGACTTCACACTGTGTGCAGCTTCTCATTTCTGTGTGCAGAACTTGTCTGTCTGCTTGTTTTTGCGCCTCTTCTGTATGATGCTTTTTGAGAATGCCCTTTGCTAACCCTCTTAATGCACTCTCCAAAGTGGAGGTCTCAACTGCTGTGACCGAGTTTTGTGATCTAAAGACTCATTGTGTGAATGTTTCCCTTTGATGCTTCCAATATTGCATTTTAGCCTCACTGACAACAGAATTGGTTCCCTCCTTGCAAAGAGCTCTCCATCCTGTGCTCTATTCTTTGATAAGCCCTCTCCTTCCCCTCCTTTATTGCAGGCACCTATGTTGCAGAGCACTGTAAAGTGCAAAATGGTTCCAGCAAGTGCTTGCCCTGTAAAGAAGATGAGTACATCGAATATCCCAACGATTTTCCTAAGTGCTTTGCCTGTCGGACATGCAGGGAAGGTAGGAAGCTGGCCTGTGTTTCTAGCAAAGACTAAGTGTGTTATGTGCCCAGGAGCTGATGCTGGGCCAATAGCATGGGCCTAAGTTCAACTTGGAGACCTCATTTCAGAGCAGAGTTGCCTGCAGCGTCTCCAAGGGGTGTCTCCTAGTGTGGGTGGTCAGGACTTGGGGAGCCTACTGGGTCTTGAAATGCTGCAAGCGCTCGTGCAGACCTACATGTCTGGTCAACATGTCCCTTGGCCCATGGGGACATTGTCCAGCGCTTGAGCCTGACACGTTCAGCAAGGGTTGCTAGGACGTGGCCTTGGGGAGTAGCCCTGCTCCGACAGGGCTTGTTCTACGTTCTATACAATCAGCTCTCCTGTTGTCCACAGATCAAGTCCAGCTGAGTGCCTGCACGGCCACCAAGAACACACAGTGCGGCTGCAAGAATGGCACCTTCTGCTCCCCGGACCATCCGTGTGAGATGTGCCAGAAGTGCCGGTCCAGGTGAGCGAGGCTGTGTGACCCCAGTGCTGGGGGACAGGGCTGGCCAAGGAGCCCCAGCACCTGAGCTGTTCCCCCTCTGCCCTTTCCCCAGGTGCCTCGATGGTGAGGTGGAGAAGGCTCCCTGCACTCCACACAGTGACCGCCAGTGTTCTCCTCCCACAGATGCTTCTTCCAACCCCTGGGGTAAGTGCCAGACTGCCGGAGGATGAAGAATGGGGTTGAGGGTAGATCTGAGCTGCTGCTGTTAAAGAAACCAGCAGCAGTTCCACACACACCTTATTTTATTTTATTTTTTTTTCAGTTAAATATGTCCTGCTTGCGGGTGCTGTGGTTTTGATAATTTTGTGCATCGGTATCATATATTGCTGCTGCAAGCATAGTTCACGTACAGGTGAGTGCTGGTTACATGGGAGCTTGCATGCATGGAGAACAGCATGGGGGAGCTCTAAAGAGCTGGCCCTGCCAGGCAAGAGCTTGGCCAAGCTGAGTGCCAGCCTTGCTGTGCAGGCACGGGGCTGGAGGGGATGGGTGCAAGAGGGACCTGCCTTGCAGGAAGAGGGGGGATCTCAGTGCTGTTTTCCCTTCCAGGAGATGGGAGAGACCTCAGGAGGAAGTCTTGCAGCGTGGTGGTGAGTTGTGCTCTAGAGCAACGGCAGCTCCCCTCGCGGAGCTGGGGTGAGATCCCTCGCCCCATCTGCTCGCCTCAGCTGTGGGTCAGGGTCACTCTCCTTCTCCAGAGGACGCTCTGGTTCAGTGACTCCTCAGGACTGTACAGAGGAGACATGAACAACCCTCTTGGATACAGTCCCTGGGCAGGTGTTCCCAATCCCTCAAAGCCCTGGTGAGGTGGATGGCACCGCAGCAAATGAGAGCCCTGAAAGGCATCCCCAAGCAGCAACCTTTAAGGGGCTGCTGTGAGCCCTGTTTTCCCAGGAACTGAGACTGCAAAATGCAGTTGGCTGATGCTTGTCTCCTGTTTCCATCACAGGACTACATCCTGTCGCAGTTGAGGAGATGTGCTCCAGGAGGCCCAGGGACGCCAGACAACTACCGCAACGAACAGGTCTCTCCGGACCAGCAGCAGGAGCTGCTTCCTGCAGAATCGGGTTTGGCTCCTCCATTGACGGGGGTATGGAGATGTCTCTGCTTTATGCCTAGCATAATGGTCTGGTGTTTTACTGTGTGTTCAAGCTGGTTGGATTGTGAGCTTCTGGGCTCGGATCAAACTTTCCACATGGAGATAGGTGAAGGGGTCTCAGGTGAGGCTCCTTTATCTGTATTCTGGGTCCAGCTGTTTTCTGGCTCTCTATTAGGAATAGTAGTCAAGACTGCAAAGCCTCCCATTGCCTAGTATTGCAGCTGGTCCCTGGGCATCCTGTGCAGATTTAACACCTGACATCAAACATATACTGAGCTGGGTTCTTGGGCTGCTTTCTAAAATTGAACTCTTCTCTCCATACTTGACATCCCTGAGCAAGCTCTCCCCGCTTGGGGTGTGCTGGGATCCCAGTACTATAAAATTATGTTTGTTTGGGAGTGCAGTGCTCTCCTGTAGAGAGTACTCCCTCTCCAGGTCTCATCCTGCCTGCTCCAAGAGCCCTTGGAGAGAGGGAGAATCGCCCAAAACCCTCTTACTGGCATCTAGGGACAGCATCTGTCTCCTTGGCTACAGGCAGCATTTTTTGGTTCAGCTCCTGTGTTTCCAGACTAGATCTGCCTCTGGAGCTGCACTAGTTGAAGTCTGTTCCTCTGAAAGGTGGTTACACTTTAACTGTCTGCTATGCAGGTGTTTGCACGAGGTGCTCTGGGTACTATGTGGTGTTGTCTTTCCAGGA